AGAGAGAATGCGTGCTGAGATTTTTCTATATTCTCGAACTTTAAAGAATGTCCACGTTTATCCTATCATCGGTAGATTATGTTGAAAAAAAAATTGTGTTATTATTCAGCGACTTGTAAACATTTGACTTCATTCACATATTCAGATTGACATTTCTAATGATTGTTAATTTGGTTCATTGTTTTTTTCTCCTCAAATTATTATGTTCACCAATTCACAAGATCATATAGATTTTGACACTGTTTTATTGGATACCGCTGACTTTAAACTGATTTGTAAATCATTTGAACGAACTGATTGAAGTTTCATTTGCCACTATTATCTGAGCTTTCGCTGTGATCGCAACTGACAAGGGAAGTATTAACCTTACTAAAAACTTGTACCTCCTTTTCTTCACACAAGTACAACACTTATAGAAACACCGGACGCACACACAATAAACTAGGAATGAAGGTGAAAATAGTTTTAACGAGAAAACCGCAACAACAAAATGAAAGAAACAAATTATATCAAAGCGTAGAAAAATGTACTCCAGACCGTTCGAACAAACCTATGCTTGTCTTGAACACTCCAGTATAAAGAAACACTGATTCCAGTATTGTAACGGATGGTAATGCTTATAGAAGCTGTCCGGCGTATTTGTGTGGTGTGTGAAGGCAAGAAGTAACAAACAAAGAAAAAAAAATAGTTACATAAAAAAGCAACAATAAATGAAAACAAAGTGAAAAAGAAGAAGCACAGCAAAGTCAACAACAAGCCAAAAAAAAAAAACACTACACATTGATGATGAGGTGAGAAAGAAATAGAGGAAAAAGTGATGGAAACCGAAAGTCTATCGACAACACATTCAAAAGAAAATGATGATGCGAAGACTAAATATTTTAATATAGGTGCAGCTCCACGTACAATCACTAAACGTATTGCTGTACACCAAGTCTGTACTACAGTCCATTGCGCACTTGGCTTGATTTAATAATAAATAATATTGTTAAAATGAAGAGTTAGCTTCGCACAACTCAATTCGTTCCATGTGTTGTGTTTTCAGCGCACTCTTACTGTGCTCATGTCACTTTTTTCTGTTTGAATGGAAATGTATAAAAGTTTTTTTTTGTTGTTGTTGTGCCATTTTCATGGCTATTTTTTCATAGTTCTTTCACTTGCCGTTTGAATCTTCCACCAAAATGGAAATTGAACGAACCGAGCATTTTGAGCATAATATTGAATTGGAAAAAGTAAAGCGATTTCAATGTAAGCATCAACAGCAACTGGCTTTCCAATTTGATTTTAATTGTTTACACTGAATGGAGTAGTATGAACGTCTGCTGCTCTTGAAAACATGACGACAGGGCAAAAAAAAGTTGATTTTTTTGTTTATTTTTAGTTCAACCGCTTAGGTGTATACAGGAGCTTGATTTTTTACATTATGGAATAAAACAGTCTTGTCTGATACAAGTCATTTAGGTTGGAAAACAAATAATGAGTCGTAAGAGGTAAAACCCTTTTGCGATTGCTCACATAACAGTAAAAACTCAACTTATTAAAAAAAAAAACCAATGAGAGTCAATAATTATTACTCATTATACACTGGATGTGTGAATGCGTTTTGCGTGGTTACATTTGAGAAAGAGTTGAAAATAAGAAATTCATAAATTGTGAGTCTGAAGTCGAATCACGCAGTCGTGTTTTCGTTTTCTTTTCATGCACTGTCTATGAAACAGGCGGCAAAGCGGCGTTAGAAATAGTTTGCCGTAAGCTATTAAGGTGTTGAGCAAATGTGCACGATCGTAATCGAGTAAAATGTGCTCTCATTTATAAATGTGGGCTTGTTATCTTTGTGCCGATATTGTTTTCTCTTTCTTTGCGTGAGCAGTGAAAGTGACGCTCAGTTTGGTCTCATAGCCGCCATCGTTTCATAGATGTATGAAACTTTAAACCATGTGCAATTGCTAAATATACTTTACGTAGATGGTGTTTGAGACAGAGCCTGATATTTCTAAAAAAAAAAAAAAGCTCACAATTATTTCTATTAGTTCTTTTCATACGTTTCAGCATTTGAATTATATAAATGTGATGCCATTTCGCTTCTTAAGCAATCGACATAAACATTATCGACAGACTGAGGGAATTTAATGGTGCGATGGGCTTCATTTCATCTCGGACTCGAAGAAATAATTTTCAAATTAAATACCTTTGTGTATGTGAGATAGACAAGTGGATAATACCACATTTTACATAGTTTTGCATCGAACGAAAATAATATGTGTTCGATGTCTCAGAGTGTCATACAAGTTATAAATGTAGCCAACCAGACAAGATTATGATCGAAACACTCTTGCCAATTGGAGTTGCCATTCTCAACATGAGTGCCGTTGAATTGCGTGAATACTGTTTATATCGACGAATAGAAGTGGCGGTATGTTAAATAAATTTCTATATGCAATTGAACGTCGCTAAATCCAAATATGTTGTTAGCCATAACATAAAGAGATGCAAAATGTAGGAATATATGAAATAAGCTACAATCAATTCAAACCGAATACAATTTCTGCGTGTTAGCGTGCAATTCATTTTTTTTAATGAAATTTAAACCACTTTTCGATATAAATTTTCAAATACGGTTTCAGTTCGATTACAAAATCGTGATTCTTATCTCGTTTGACGCATTTAGTTTCGCATTTTTCCAATCTACATACTGCAGGCTTATATGTTTCCCTATCAAAACTGTAACAGCGGATTGTTCTGTCAATCCAAAGTGCAGAGACAATGTTTATGACTCTTTAGTAAAGATCACATATTTCAAACGTTTTTATTTTTGGTTTACGTGATCAATTGTTTAACCATTTTCAATGGTAACATAGTTAGAAAGCGAAATGCAGTGAGCAATAAATAATCGAAGAAAACAAAACTAACTCGATCGGACTTTGGTAAAATATCAAATTGAGACAGTTCATATCTAAATTTGTCCCTCTTTATTGTTTAAAGTAGAAGTGTTATTCATATTTATTTATCCATTTATCTATTTATCTATCTATCTATCTAAAGTTGATTTGTTTCTTTAGCATATTTTACATCAAATACCAATACTATTACTACTAAAAATTAAAATTACCTCGTTATTGTAAATAATGAGTGTACATTACGCGAGCACACTGCATATGCACATAGGATTCTATTATATAGCTTGCTGTGATTAGTAATCTTGATGGACAAAATTTCAAGAATAACTCATGCGTTTATATGTCATATTTTTTTGTAAATATTAGACTCAAATGTAAATACATGCAGATTGAGTTCTGTTTCTCCATTTGGACAAATTCCGTCGCTTCTATTTCCATTGATACTCTGATCAAAATTTTAACTGGTGGTCGGAGTGTGATTGGCTCTGGCAAACTTATAATTGGGATTTCCCCCTAAACTTCATGCAAGAATTGCCCCAGCAGTATTGATCATGTTCAAGAAAACACATATCGATGTTAATCAAGTTCGCATGAGCCAATTTGGCAGTACAGTATACATAAGGCCGAAAAGTGCACAGGCTAAAGAGTGGTGCACAGAACAGCAAACGGATATGTCATTGTATTCGAATTGTTTTCGTTCGAGCCGTTTACTTCATATCAAATCGCTGTGTATCGGTCTCTTGCAAAATGAAAAATTTCAAGTGTGGTTTAGTGAACAAATTCAAAATGAATACGTACAAGGTTACATTAACGATGTTCATTTTGCTTGGTAATATCTATAACAACAATAATTTAACCGAAAGTCGTGTGTATATATTGGACACACATTCGTGTATGAATGAAGCATAACAGCAGCTCAGCAGCACAACGGCATTTTGGATACAGAAAAAAATGAAGAAAAAAATCACTCGGTGCCTTGGTAAATTATACACATAATGAGAATGAAACGGCAGCAATGTTTACAATTAACATACGAGCAACCAAAATGAAGCTTCTGACGCGTGTATTCTTTTGCACTTGTTGCTTGTTTCACTAGTTTTTTCTTTCGAAAATATAACAAAAATTCGTTTGCGGTCAAACCGTTTTTGTGTTGAGCGCGAACAAGAATGTTGCAATTAGTTAGGAGACTCCAAATTGAAGTTATATTGACCGAATGCATTGGTACACATCGATTTTCAATGTGTGTAATCTTCGTAGTGTTTCTAAGGTTAATTCATGTAATATCGTCAAACTGTAATGCGACTCTGCAGTGCACAGAGTCGAATACAATATTTGCGCGTTCCTTCATTCACTCATTTTATTCATACCATATAATAGGTTAACATATTTCATTTCTTTTCTTCAATTCCAGTCTCTCGCATTTTGAAGAAACAATTAATATTTGGCCAAGTTTCCTTCTCTCAAATCATGTGTTTATTGGTAAACCAATCTTTAGATGGACGAAAACACATTTCTTCATCTCATGCCAACACATACAAGTGCTTATATTGCATGCAGCCGATGTGACTTACCGACCGACAGTCAAACTCTGATACATTTTGCTCCAGTCCGTATGGCCAAAACACAATTTTACAAAATGAACAAAAAGTTATGAGTGAAAATTATGTAATGACCATGTTTGAATTACACAACAAAAAATACTTGAAAACGGTGTAATGTTTCCAATCTAATCCAACCAACTAGCTAGCTGATCGTGATCACTGACCATACTCACGCAATCAGTAAGCAATTCCTTGGTATGTAAGTTGGTTTTTTTTTTTTTTGTGGTACTATCCCGATTCTTGGCATCAATTCATTTCTAGCATGAGGCTTTTGATTAGCCCACTAACAGCCACAACATTGCATGACTGTCGGCTGATAAGTTTTTGAACAGATCAATAACTCATTGGCAACTCTGTTCAGTGCTCCATTAAAAGTGCTGCCGTTTCGTGATGCTATTTTCTCCCGTGCAATTTTCGCATTTTACCCATTTTTTTGTATGAGAATCATTGGAAGCAGAAAAAAAAAATGAAAAATTTAACAAAACAAAAAGCTTGGAAATACCTTGATTTTTTCATAATTGTGGCGTGTTCATTCATTTGTACAGCGATTTAATGAGTTTTTCTTTGTTAGTTCGTGCGTTTGTGAATTCCCCCTTTTTGAAGATTCATCAAAAGTACATTGTTGTTGTTGTTAACGATATCACCTATTTGATGATTATCGTGTCGCTATCGAAACTGCATTCGAAGTGGTCGTTTAAGTCCAGAGCACAGAACTGTGTTATATAGTCCATATTGATGTCGCGAGTTGCGTTCATGGATAAAGTTATTCACATTCATTCCTGTTTTCGATGTAAATGAACTGGTTGGTGACAAAGAATTGATAAAAAATATTTCTGCTTCACGATGGCATTCCTTTTTCTACTCTTTCAAGTTTCACTTCTCACAATAAATCTTTTCTTCTCCGTCTGTTTAACCCAAATTTGGCAGAATATTGTGAAAATAAATGAGTAAATGTAATCGTCAGTCTCACTATTCAAACGTTAAAACCACTGAACGCGTTTCGGAAAAAGTTTTTGTCTTTCGTATTTCACCGAATGACTTTTGAATATGCACTGACAAGTGTAATACGCTTAATTTTAGCGTTCACCCATCATATAAATGTGGTTACTCTATTATTATTTTTCTCACTACAATCACACGATTTACACAAAATACACTTAGATTACCATGATGTGTTATGGCACACCAAAAATATTCACTTCGAACACTAACCAATCGTGAAAGCTTTTAATATTTTCCGAATTCAAATGCGAAATGAACTGAACTGAACTGAACTGTATGGGGAAATCACCAGCGACAAAGTTAGATGATTCGCGAACACGTTTTGATAGAAAGGCCACACTGATTCACTCAAAGTCTGCACAGAAAACACACTTCTTTTTCATCTTGTCGAGAGAGATACAAAACAAAACTGAATTGAAAAATTGTAATATTTTTACCCTTGGCTGTGGCTTTGTGTATTCATAAACGACGCATACAAGAGAATTCAGCAAAAGCAACAGCGACAGCAGCAGAAGCAGTAGTAGTAACAACAACAACAATTACATCCAAAGCCACTAAGATACACATAAAATCTGAACATCAATGGCGGATTCATAACGAAACTCTCATTTCGGTTTCAACTGCATCGCGCTGCTGTACTATCAACCATCGGTATTTTTTTTTTTAGCGTTTATGTTCTTTGTGTATCTTTTTCACACTATTTGCCTTTAGCATGTGGTTTCAATTTTTATGGCAATATCTCCTCTTGCTATTTATGTATTTTTGCTGCGCCAATTGATGACGGCAAATTTTTCTTTCTCTTTTTGAAGCTCCGTCCAAAGTTCACTTGTTATAAACTCATTGTAATTGGAAATACTCAAAACAACCGTATAGTAACAAATTAGAAAGAAAAAAATGATCTATGCTCAATTGATCAGCGTTGAATACCAGTTGACTGAGCATCACACACTAACCAATCGAACAAACAAATATAACACTTAAGCTCCAGTATAACGCAACAAAACGATACTTTTTTTTCTTTCATAAAATGGTTTTTCATACGGCTTTTGGTATCGACGTGTTTGGTGTATGTATGTGTGGATAGAGTGCGAGAGAAGTAGAGAGTCAGAGAGCGTGAACGGCCGTAAGCACTCATACTGTTGAGAACAGCTGTTTAGTGTGCCCTGCACTTCTGTGATGGAACCATCGCTGCCGACCGATCACGTAAGGCTTCAGATTCATCAATAATAAACAGGAACTGATCGCTTTTTTCATTCCCTTTCTTCATTTCTGTCCGATTCTTTCCACATTCATATTTGCAATGTATCTCACTGCGATCTGTTATACCCATAATATTGATCGTTTAAACATCTGGAAATTAAACGGAAAATGCTGAATTCTTCTTTTGATAATTTCTTGAACATTTCAAAAATTCTCTTGCGATAGAAGAAAACGTATGAGTGGTTCATTCATTTGATGTGTCAGTATCGAGTGTAACATCTACTATAGTAGATGCCACTACTAGATCATATGTAGCAGTTTTAAGTTAGATATATCCACCTTGTAGAAAAAGCAATTTCTTGAATATATCGAATTCAAATTGATTTTAATCCGTAAATTGATCTTTGGAAATTTTCCATATCAATTCTAGGTCAAACGAATGTGATGGAGGTAAAGGTGAAAAATCTCTGCGGGTTTCATATTGCATTCACTTTTGAGAAGCTCGTTTTGTTGGCATTTTGAATGTATATGAGCAGGCGTTTTAATAACTGAAACTTTTCACACAACAGGAGTTTTCGTTTCTGTGCTCATTTCATTGTATACAGGTTTTTACGTTTTCGTGAAGTGTAATTGAACCCGTGAGCATAAAAACGACTTATTAAACAATCGCCGAACAAAACGATACAAGAAAAAACTACCAAACAAAACACACGTTAAAAACGTAACACAGCAGGACGGTACCGTTCAAAACGAAACTCCGCTGTGCTACACATTACCGCTGTGGTACGTTTTGTTCGGTAGTTTTTTTTTGTATCGTTTTGTTCGGCGATTGTTTAATAAGTCGTTTTTATGCTCACGGGTTCAATTTTGCTATGATATTTTTCTGGTTTCATGTCAACTCTTCAAAACAAAACAAAAAATACCTTCAAAATATTCGTTTTGCTTGGTTACGAAGGTGTGCTTTTGTTTGATACCTACTGTCTGTAGTAATCAGTGATTGATGGATGAAAGCAGCATTTAATACGTTGTTGTGATCACCTAATTTTAGGCGTTTCATTTCAAACATTTTCGGCTTTTCGCATGAAATGAGAGCAAAAACAAGAAACAACGACATGATTAGAATTAGGGCACTCAAATAAATGGTATTCTCCAATCCACGGATAATATTTTAACAAAACAATCAATGCAAATCAAGTGGAAACATTTGAATTTACCATCGAACGGCAAAATCATTGTCTATCAATCAACCCCTTTTATTTTTTTTTTTTAATGTAACATAAATTCGTTCTGATCCGATATACGATTGATGAGTATTACATGCAAATTCTTTCAACATATCGTATTCAACAGAAGACCGGTTTCAACGGAGATTGCGTGACGTGAGAATTCAGTCGACGCATAAACAGTATTACGATTAAACACGATTTCCAGTGCAGTGTGAATGGGAAATTTTTAATTTGCATTTGAGCTCACGAAACAATATGATGTTATAAAACACTTACGTTTTGTTTGATGTTGCAAAGTTTCAATAATTAACTTCAAATGATTCAGCATTGAGATCTCTTTCTCTCTGTATCAAATACACTCGAATGTAATTCTCCTTCGCACGTCTCTACTCTTCCGCCACATCAAACATATAACGTATAAACCGCTAGGGGGTAAGAACACAAGCGCTTGAGACAAATTCGTACGAATATTCGTGAATTCTTGTGATTGTGTATACGAGACATTCGCAGCGCAGTGAGTTTACAACAACAATAACAAAGCCACGAACGCATGAATATATGCGAATACATACGAATGACACAACTTGTTCCTAGCCTCTAGATAAACCGCATCTATTTAAGTAGCCCAATACAACGGATACGGTGAATTAAATTACAAACGCAGTAGCCAATATTTCCGTCTGACTACAAATGTTTGGCTGAGAATATTGATTTCGTTTCGTTTCAAACCAATCATAATCGACATGGGTAATGATTGTGGAAATTTGCTATTTTATCGGAGTTTGGCTTTTCTATAACCATTTGCATAAATTCAATTTTGGTTGTGTGCGGTTTGAACACGAAATATATATGAATGGAATGATTGAAATCAATAAAAAAATGAAAACGAAGACAATCGTATACACCATACGCTCCCAACTCCAGTCAATCATGCAAAATAAAAATATTATTTATCAAAATTGCATAATATTTGATCAAACGTTTATCGTTATTTCGAATAGTTAGAACGTTTTTTCCATTTCTGTTGCTATCCTTTCAGTTTCGTTTTCAGCATATTCATTTTTCGTTCATCGAGAAATTACAAAGACGAGCAGGCGATTTCTGAGGACGCATACAATACAGTACAATTGAATGGCAAGGCGGCTTCGGTAAAGCCACAAATTAGAGTGAAAATTTGTATCAATTGGTTTTCAATCAGTTACCTATGCGTTTCCGTTTACGATAATTGTAAACAAACGTTTGCGTTGTGCCTTTTTTGCGTTTTGTACTACATTAATTTTAAACTGCCAATCCAATGGGAAACGTTTCAGCTCATTTTAAATCGATTCGAATATTTCAATTGGAACGAGAACCAGGTAAATCGTTTGTTGATAACTTACCAATTTCTCATGACATGGAGAGAAAGAAGTTTTGAGTTTGAAATGTATTTGATAGATGAAAGAGTGTAGTGAATTGGCTAAAATTCGAACGTATAAGCCATTTGATATTGTGTTCTGCGTGGATAACGACCAAATGAAATGTGCACACATTATTCTTAGCGGTAGATGTTCGGTTTTGCAGTATCTAAACATGAATGTGGGTAAAATAAACAAGAATAAAAAAAATCTCTGTGTTTGATTCTAATTTGCTGCAATTTTTTCGATAGACAAAACTCGATGGAAAAATACACAATCTTAAACCGCCATCAAAAAAAGAATCAACATCACATGATATCATCCAACAGATATTTGCAAGTAACGACAATCGAGGAAAAATGTTGGAAAAAACTGCGCCATGTTTGGATCAAAAAATGGATTCAAGAAGTAATTGTAGAATGTTTATAGATACGAATGTACAGTGTTTTTCAAGTCTAGAAGAGATAAAATGATAGATATCAGCTAGAAGAGTAGCAAATTCTGTAACAATTGGTGGTATTCATACAATGTTGCGATTGATATTCACACTTCCCGAAACAAAGAAAACTGTTATAAAGTCCGAATATCAATCATGTTATTATCATGCACAAACAAATGTCTTTCCTCTGTTTGATCCGTTTTAAACAGCATTTTCATAAAACGGCTTTACTCAAGGGGAGAGACACCAACGCTAGTTCAACTAATTTATTCAATAGTTTCCTAATATATGCCATTTTTGCCAGTTTCCTACAATGAAAGTGCTATTTTTTGCTAATATTTTCTATGTGCAACGTGACAGTTTGACAGTTCATGTACAAGTAACACTCATCAAGTTATTGTTGTATGCTTGGAAAGAAAGGAAAAAATTATATTTTGGTAATTTTTCTTATCTTATTTCATAGAAAAGAACAAATCGTTTCATTTAATTTCGTAAAATAACTCAAAAAATTGGTTCTAAACGGTTAAAAAAAATCGAAAATCGAATGTTGACTAAAAAAACACCTATGTACCGTCGGTACTAGATAAAATTACACCTAGTACAAACACTAGCCCACAAATTACAAAGCTAGCGAGCTATTAAAGCGATCGTTAAAAACTAATTTTATCAATTAAGAATTGGTATTGGAGTGAATGCTGGTTACGATGTCATCATTATGAATGCCCGATATTGTTCGCATTTCGGGCTGGCCGCAAAAATGCTGGATGCACCGGTATTGGTGCTGAGAAAGAGCTATGTGTGATCAAATTGAAAATGTACAATTTTAATTATAAATCCACAAGTCGCAAAGCGTTTTCTACTTAAATCACTTACCTCGATACAGGATCAGTTTCGCTGCTGACATGTCACGGTGCCATACCGTTTAGTGCAATTGTTGTAGTTGAGCAGCATCCTTCACTCCGACGTTTAAATTTGCGTTTGGTTGCCATGTTTTCGAGAAACGTTGTTTCTTCGACACCAAACGTCGTGTATTCGATTGAGTTAGAGTTGCTGCAATCACATTGCCCAAATCACGCATCTCTCGCCATGTTCGTTCAATTGCTCGTTTCGTTTGCAGTGCACGTTTACTCACATTGGTCACAATGAGTGTTGGTAGCATTGCACGTTGATCCGGTCGACAATCTGCGCACAATATGTAGCGATATGACTTTGTATGAGGGTGGAACCGTCCGAAACAGTTTGTGACGTGAAGTATTCGTCTACCATTCTTATGACGCAATTGCCTCGTTTCTTGAAGGCGGCGATCAATTTTTCGGTCGCCCGGGCATCGCACGTGCTTCTTGATACGAATTGGTGAATTCGGCGCAACTGTTCTGCATCCAAAGAAAATCAGTGCTGGTTTGTGGTTGACCAAACGGCCGGCGAATAAATCAATCGCTCGATGCCATTCAATAAGCTTGTCCAATCGCAATCGAGCATAGCTTCGCGCTGTGTATGCTTCAATGCCATTTTCCATCATCCGCAATCGATGTTGAATGCAGAAGCTCCAATTTGTGCCGCGTGGTGATGGCATCTCTTTGATATCACTCTGGATTCGGTTGCGATCGTACTCTTCTTCAAATGTGAACAGTCGCGTCATCTTTTCACCCTTATTCATGCGAACGCCATGTTTGATGTCATAGTGGTACCGTTTGCTCGATGTTTTCATGTTGACCTATGAAATTGTCATCAAAAACACAAGCAATTTAAGAAAAAATGAAAATCTGAATATAAATCCACTTACCACTTTACTGGTGCGTACATCTAGTCGTACAGTAGCATTCCACCTTCACACACCGGGATCGATGCCAAGCTAGACTGGTTAAAAAAAGTTGTTCCTCCTCCGAATTCCCCGGCCAGTTCTGAAAAATCAGAGGTTGGTTGCAAATAAATTTACTTATATAAATTTCAAATATCAAATAAATTTATCCGATATTTTTCATGAGTTGTGTTGTTCTGACGCATTCGTATTACATAAACGAGACATCGGCTGTTGTATTGGCAGCCAGCTATTCATCGCTGGAATGAGATTTTCGTTTTGTTCATTTACCGTTCTTTGTCAACAATTCTGCCACTGTGTCACTACATAGTATATATAGTCCATAAGAAATGTGCAGAAACGAAAATGTTCGCCATTTAGTTTTACATTGCCAATACATTAGTTATAGAGATTTTTGTTTTGTTTATTTTTTGTTGTTTGTAAACAAATCTGCATATCTTTTTGCATTGTCTCTACACACTTCTTATGGACATATACTATGTACAGTGGTAATGCAAAAAGATAGGCAAATTTGTTTACAAACAACAAAAAATAAACTAAACAAAAATCTCCATAGCCAATGTATTGGCAATGTAAAACTAAATGGCGAACATTTTCGTTTCTTGACATTTCTTATTGACTATATATACTATGTAGTGACACAGTGGCAGAATTGTTGACAAAGAACGGTAAATGAACAAAACGAAAATCTCATTCCAGCGATAAATAGCTGGCAAATGCGTTAGAACAACACGACGCATGAAAAATATCGGATAAATTTATTTGATATTTGAAATTTATATAAATAAATTTATGTGCAAACCAACCTCTGCGAAAAATAAAACTGAAAAAAATTGGTTTGGCGCAAAAAATCATATATCATAGAAATTGGTGAGGCCAAGCCCCATATCAAAATTTTCATGACAGCGATTTCGGAAGCTATTTTTGATCGGAACATTCCTTATTCCAGTCAACTTTTGGCAAAAACTAATGATGAGGTTTTTTTTGGCTCGTCAATATCTACAACTTTCACTAAGACACTTGAAAAGGCATTCTGGGCCAGTCACCATGTAAAATGACCAAAAAATGTAATTTTTTTTGGCATTTTCAGATTTGACCCCATACGAGCCACCCAGGCGGTGGACTTTTGTTCAGTTCTTGACTTTTGTGAAAATTTTGGTACTTGTCAGATTGCAGTTTGGATGGAATTTGGCGACAATTGATTCCTATATAGAAGACAAATTTATGACAAAAATGGGCCAATCACGAACATAAGCTTCGATTTGACAGACATACGTAAACAATTTCTACCCCTGCTGCCTTTAAACTTATAGTATGATCCTTCACGAACATTTTGGGTGCTTACTTGTCCAAATCAAGTGACATTTTTACACAGTTCTGGCCCCATATTCGATTGGTTCAAATTCAACTCTCAAAAAAATCGACTTTTGTTCAGAAAATTTCTCAAATATACATTTTTGGGGATTGATATCTTGGTAAAATGATATTTTTTCGTTCGGTTTTTTGTTCCACACAAACTTCTCTTGCGCACAAACGGTTGCGTACATAGCCATCGCAAACAACTCAAAAACAAAACTTGCTAAACCGTTTGCGCGCGAGAGAAGTGTGTGTAGAACAAAAAAACCGAACAAAAAATGATATTTTCATAGAAAAATCCATAAAAAACGTAACTTTTGTTCGAGAGGTACCTTAAAAAATCAATTTTGAGAGTTTTTGTCTGGCAAGACTCCCCATATTTTCGAGAAAAAAATAACATTTTACCAAGACATCATTGTTTGGTTTCTATCACTCTTTCGATGTCACAACGATAACAATTCAAATGCGTTAGCCTTTTTCCCTTTTGATTTGAGTTGCTGCCTGTTCAATCTGATTTCAGTCGAACGAAGCAAATTTTCATATTTCATCACATAGTGAAACTGTGAACGGTGGTTTGTTTACAATAACAAACTTCAAAATGGACCAAAACTTGTAGTGGGAATATGCATGACAATAGTTTGGCCTGCCATTTGTGAGCATTTTGAAACGTAATCGTTGAAAATCAGAAGAAATGAATTTGAAAAAATACTTTTATCATTCAATACATGAACAATTTGAATCATTAAATTATATTGTATACGCTAATGTTATTTTTGCTTCGGGAAGTGTGAATATAAATCGCAATACTGTATGAAGACTATGAATTGACACAGAATTCTTTTCTCTTTAATTTAAAATCTACCATTTCTCCTGTCCAGGTTATGAAAAACACCCTAATGTACAGACCACAGCTGAAATTGAACAATCCGAAACGACCAAACAACAACAACAACAACATACTAGGGAACATTTCATTGAAATTGGTGAGTTTACCCGTTTACTGTCAAATATTGAACAATTGAAGAGCGCCGTGGATTTCGTACGGCAAAATTCAGTACTACTTGTGTGATTTTGTGGTATTTCACAATATGTCGAAATCAATTACGGCTATTTACAGCTCAATAGTACTGAATTACTAACCAATTAGTACTGAATTTTGCCGCACGAAATCCACGGCGCCTCACAATTTCACACTTCGTATTCTGTATACAATAAATGCGAGATTATAAGCGTGTGGGTGAGTTGAATCAACGAATTGTAAACGTCATTATGATTTTCAACACTATATCAAAAGCACTCTCGCTCGGACTAACGCTCCGATTAAAACATCACGAGAAAATTAATCTTTTTTCCATTTTGTTAGGAACAATAGGTTGTGGAGCGATATTTGCTCTTGGCGAGCACATGGAGGATCGAGTCATAGTTGCTAAACACATGGAAGTTCAGTGTCTTTTAATCCCACATTATTGGCTGTTTAAAAAAAAGCAAAATGTTGGTAACATTTGGCAACGGTGAGAAACTCTTCACAATTATATTTCCATTTTGGTGAAACAATTAAAGCCAATTTTATTTTTGACAGAGCAAAAATTTACCTGGACTTTACATTACCCTCACGCCAAGAAGTTTTTAAACACTATCTGGAAGCAAAAAAATGGAAATTCCACAGGAACAAGCTGGTTTGTAAGAGCGGACAATTGAAGCCACAGATAAACACAACACGTATTGAAGATGTTCCGATTCTGTGCCGTTTGAATGGCTCATTATAATAATTTTTTTTAGCAAAAAGTGAAGATGAATGAAGACATAATAATTGGCACAATCACACAGCAATGGTTATCGTTTTGTTTCATTTTATTATTATAAAATTCATTTTTCTGAATGGAATTACAAGTTTTACAGTGCAATTAATAGTTAAAGAGGGAAACGACAGAATAATTTAATGGCTTATATGGCTAAGATATAAATATAAAAAAACTAAAACCGCAAACGACAGGCACTTAAATCCTAATGGAAGTTTTGTTTTCGTTAAGTACAGCAATCAGTTGGAGAAGCTTTTTTTCTTTTGAATATTTGTGTCATTGAGAATAAAAATGGGATTTACCGAAACCGCTCGTTTACATGTGAATCATTTTTGTTTCACATAAAAATACGCGGTTTCGGCTAATCCCATTTTTATTCTCGACGACACATCTGTTTGTCTGTGTTGCTTTGAAGAAAAGGGAATAATTCTTCTATGGTCTATGCTAAAAACAAACAAAAAACTGTAATGAAATACAATAAAATGGTTGATGTTTTAAACGTATACAAGTATTTTATTTGTTTCTTTTCAAATAAACTTGTCGTTTTTTTCTTGTATATTTATTGTTCATTGAATTGACTAATCGCTTGTTATCAAGATTTGAAGCGTTAAAGTCTATGCACTTTTTAATATTGGTCTTTCCGCATTGTACACGATATTTGAAAAAAAAAAGATGAAGAAAACCGCTAAAACACGTTTTTCTTAACTAATTTCGAGCACTTCTTACGAATCTACCCTGAATAATTGGATAAAAAGTACTTGATCCAGTTGATGGAATGCCGATACCATGGTTAAGGGAAAGAACCTTTGAAATTATGTTCAAATCTTCGTTAGATCGACCGATGCCCGATTGAGCTAGCAAATTCTGTAATTGACTATCAACATTATAAATTGGGTAGATGGGTGGGAAATTGGTATTAATTGAATTTAGTCCGAAATTGGCTGTGCCGGACTCTTGCCGAAAAACGCGATTACGGCTACGCGATTGTTCGCTGATGGCAATCGGATCGTTATTGTTCAATGCAGAATGATGAGTTGCTGGGAATGATGGAATGTTCGAAATGAATTGCTGTGCTGGCTTTAGTGGCAATTGTGGATTTGGCGATAAAAGAGGTGATGTTTGTTGACCAGGGAACGCTGGCAATGGTTGTGATGGTGTGAATGTTGGTGTTTTTGGTCTAAAATCGGTAGCTTCACGAACGGGAAGCAATTGCTGTGTTGAAAATGAAAGACTAGGAATCACCTGTACTGAACTTGATTGGTCTGCTGGTGGCGGTGTCAAATGATTGAATGATGGCAAACCAGTTAAAAATTGGGAATTTCGGAATTGTTGCTGCAGCAGCTGTTGTTCTTGTTCGTAACGGTGTAGACGAGCTCGATTCTCTTGCTCGAAACGGAATCGTTGTTGCAAAAGCAACCCTTGTTGACGATTCAATGCTTGCTGTTCTTGGTAGATCTGTTGTTGGCGGAAAGTTTCCTCTGTTTGGCGTTGTTGTGCCTGCAATTGAGCGATTTGCTCTTCAAGTTGCTTTCGTTTCTGTTCTAATGCAAATGTTGTGAATGCAGCATCTTTCGTTGATGGTAATTCTAAAGATTTCGACAAGGTAAATGATGGAGCATTATTCTCGGACGGAAGCTCCAAAGTCAAGGGTGTTGTAATGATTGATGGTTTTGGCGTAGTTGTACCAGAGGTTGATGAGCTTATAGTAAATTCTTGAATTGGTTTTACAATGGCTGCTGGTGTTTGAATTGGATGAATCAATGGAATGATATTTTTCGGTAAGCCAAGCTCGTCTTGCTGCACTGTGAACGCAGCGACAAGTGGAGCTTGGTAGATTTTCACATCGTTCTTTGACACTCTTTCGATATTCTCACCATCGTCATTGTGAGTTGGTGCTTCTGTGGTCGCGGTCTTTGGTGTAATTGTTGATGTTCCAGCAGTAGTGCTTGGCTTATAGGTGGTTACTTTGAAATCGCTTGGGATCCCCTCACTGCTGCTATTATCAATATCCCCATCATCAATTTCATTCGTTTTGACACTGCGTGCAATTTGAAGGGTTTCAATATGAACATCACTATCTTTTACCTGGAATCGGAATATCGGAACATCATACAAAATTGAAATAAAATTCTGGACATCCATAGATTTGATTTTGGAAATTATATTTTCAGGGCGGTGACGCATGCTACCACCTATTTGTACGTTTTAAAAAAAACTTACTGGATTTGGTGCACCAAACTGAATAATGACCTGATCATCGGGCTTGGATTTATCAGTTGGGGCCGTAGTTGTTTTGGCCTTCTTCAAGATTATGGTGTGAATTATTTCGTCTTCATTTTTTTGTGTATAATTTTGTGCACCATCAGTTAAATACGAGTTGTACAAATTTAAAGCCTTCAAATCAGCCTTAGTACCTGTCAATAGAAACATAAATATGAAATGGACTTATTCTCAGCGGACACAATATTATTTTTATATGTGTCTGTATCTTACTCTCTTCGAGCAATTCATCTTCAGTTGTTTCTTGAATTCCATTTAATTCTGTGCTTTCATCGTGGTCGTTTGAATTTTCAATATTGGTCAAAGCTTTCAGAAGCGCCTATTATTTCATCCGTTCACATTTTTTTTATTGAAAAGAAAAAGCAACAAAAAATGATGAGTTTCAACGGTTTAAGATGTAACTTTGCACATTTTCTTTCATTACAATCGAGGGGATATCTTTACTTTTTGATACCCGAGAAAATATTTCTTATTAGAAAATTGAAGGTTGATTTTCACACAGTACCTTTCGAAGTGCGGGATTCAATCGGCTCACAATTGATTGTGATGTTGATTCAATTTTGGATTTGCTTTCTGCCTCGGACGTTTGAAGCCATGTTGTCATAAGTAGCATCGCTACCATTACTTTGCTTATCTGAAAATAGAAAAAAAAATACCATAGGAACAAAATAGAAAACGCAGTAAATAAATTTGTCATCTTAATGGCAAACGGTGGATAGGTTCAATGCGGGTCTGCGAACACATGTGTTTGTTGAAGCATTTGAATTTTTATCACTTCATATTTTCCAATTGAGAAATTTGAAAAAAAAAAAACACTTTCACTCATCAATATTAATGCCTTATTCATATTGATATTCGGTTCTACCGTGTGTACGGTCAATGGTCATTAGGAAAAATGGAATGAAAAAAAAAATGAACATTTTCTCTACGAAGTATGATCATGATAAATGTGCTGAAAATTAGTTGAATATAGTGATGTGATCATGATAAATGTATATATGTATAATGTAAAATAAATGTGTCGAAAATTAGTTAAATGTCGATTTTCTGTTATTTTCGCTATAGACTTCGATATTATCCCAATATCAATTTTGTAGTAGTATGAGTAGTATATACATCACGCAATATCATCAATTCATAGAGTTTGCGGAACAACATTTACAACCGCCAAAACAGTAATAACAATTATGGTCGACTATTTAAAGTCAAAGTCCACGATATAGTCACTTGGAATTAACGTTTAAAACATTATCTGAGATTAGACAGACGGGAGGGGCTGAGAAGACGACGAAAATTCAAGAAAAAACAACCAATATACTACCTGGGCTTTCATTTTCATCACAGCAATGCTCATACCGTTGTAACGACGGATGTTATTGAACTTGATTTTGTCCGATCGATGCTCTAATCTTGGTTGACTGTGCAATAAAACCGGTAACAGTTGCTTAAATTGAACACACATGTGACCTATCTGGTGTTTGCTTCACTGTTGTCCACAGATCGTCGGTTGTGTACATTTGTGCATTCAAAATGAGTTGCAGGCAATGTTCAATATTTTAATTCGATGCAAACAGCTTGAATCGGAATATTTTTTTTGGAGTCCAGTACATTACTAGAACTACTTTCATAAAACAAACACGCGCTCATTTAAATGTCTAACTTTTGCTTTCAAGTTCACGTTTACCTGTTTTTACACATGACAACCAGTCAGATGAAAAATGATAACATGGCACAAATGTGTTTGAAAAATTTACTCGATTCAAAATAGAATTTTGGGAAATTTTAATTTGTTGAACTCCTTTCAGTCGAAATACAAAAATGTTTGCCCGAAAAATGGTGTGAAGGTGATGACCTTTCTTTGTTAAAACAAACAAAACAAATAAATGATTAAATAGATATAAATGTTCAGTGTTCACCCAACAACTTTATAACATTATAAATCATACGTTTGTTCAGCATGTTTGATGCAAATGACGAAGATAACGATTTAAATGGATTTTCCCAGATCATTTAGCTACCAATTTACAATCTTAGCGCTTACTTTTAAATTTCGAGGCATTCGCTGGTTGTTGTTGAGATTGTTGTTGCTCCATATTTGATCATGGCATTGTTTCTCCAGCGCTAAACACTGTTCGCGAATTATTTCATCATATTCAATTGGTTTGACATGAGCTTCAACGTGTATTTCATTTTCAGCATATTCCCCAACCTCTGTCAATTATAATCGTTAAATTTTGCATCGAAATCAATTTAGTAAGCCTGAATTATATATTAAACATTAAAATCTATAGCTAAATATATATATTTAACGCTGGCTAAGTCCATTCATTTGAATGTTGAGAGTGCGCCAAGATATCGGCAGAGTGAATGTTTCGTTTTCGAATATTTTGTTCAATTAAAAGAAACAAATTGAAAAAACGACACATAAAAATGAGACACTAGAAGTTTGCCGTCGAGTTCACCACTGAATGTCTTGGATAAAATTAATTATGTATGCTATGTGCCACATTATAACATACAACGTGAATATGCAATTTTCTCAATTGGCTAATGTTATTCCAATTTGTTATTGGAAATGGGATTTCTGGGCACCTTGCTTTTGGTGAATTTTTCAATCATTTGAAACGAATTGAATGGCACTGAAGAAAGGAAAAGAAAACAAAACAAAATGAAACGAAATGAAACGTATCCACATTTGAGAATAGATGATAATACAACGGAATTTGGAACACATAAACAATGCTATGGGCATTGTAGTCTGTACATTAAGGTAATTGTTTTTTTTTTTATTGACTAAATAAGCCATACCGTTTGAAATAGGCTGAAATGAGGCTGCGCCTCTTACGACTTTGCAATTTAACTTGAATCCGATTTCGCTGAATTTGGTTTCACAATAGGGTAGTGGGCGCATTGCCTACCAGTGGTACACCAATTAAATTAATCGCAACTTCGAAATTGGTTTTCCATTGTTGATCTCAAGCATTCACCTTAAACCATATAACCATACACTTTAAATGATATCTACGTTTATTAGCGAATACCGCCGGTTGACGTAATATTCTGGTTCATGTCAATCCGCTTGTTCCAGAATTTTGATTTTCTACAGCTGAATTGACTTCAGCGTGCAAATTGGAAGCATGGTACTTGTTGGCAATTCAAGAGGACATAAAATATGGGTTAAATTTCCCCACAATTTAAATCTTCCGTGTCATAGCCCTTTGAATACACACACTGTTTTTTTTTTTTTTTGTTTTCAGTGAAAAGAGAGATTTTTTATATCCATAATTCGTGTTTCATAGCGATTTGCATTCATCTACAGCGGCATTGATGTACGTCAGATGATTGTAAATAATATTATGATCTTTTGAACTTTGTAATTTAAATAACGACGAATTGGAGACAATAAACGATTGTAGTTGGTTTCTGCAATGAAATGAACTATCACAGCCGGAGGAAGGTCATTATTTACATTGTGTCGCGACAATTAAAGCTACCACTGCTCGGGCTTACGTTTTGACAAATCTTAGACAATATAGTTCGACATGTCCACGAAGAATTGATGTTGGCATCGTTTCAACTTTTTCGCACAATCTAACATTGTCTTTGGTTTGTGTCGCCCATTTGATGCGAATTTTTTTTATGCGTCAATGCCACATAGTAGTTTCGTGAGGTGAATTTTGAAAGCGAATGTGTGATCATGAGAAAAGTGACCAAGTTATATTCCGTATGCGACTTGTTTCGCCGTTTTGTTTCGTCTGGTTTTTAAACTTTGTCGCTTCTTCATTTGGCTTTTTTTTTCTGTTTTTTGATCGTTGTTATTGCCGTTTTTTTGTTGTTGTTTTTAACTTTATAAATACATGTTCATTCGGTGCATTGAAGGTGAAAGTTTTTTTTGCCAACGTTGAACTCAAATAAAGAGTATCAAAATAAAATGTAAAGAGCAGTAATATCCGATGAAGACGAAACGATGCGAACAACGAAACAGCAATATTATTATAGTTGAACAAAAGAAACAGACGAAAATAGTAGTTACAAATATTGAAATGAAACGTTTTTTTTTATATGTATTGGATTGCACACAAATAAACCATGTCCCGTGATATCTTACCGTTGAAAAATCACCTCATACACACGATGGCGACGACGACGACGGAAAAACCGAAGTAAAAAACGGAACAAATGCTAATTCACACAAAATATCCAAGATTTTGCTTCATTGGACCGGTGTTGCTGTTATGCAGATCGATCGTGCAGAGCACGTGAACTGCTTGTTATTGCTTTTATTTCTTTATTCCGAATAGGTGATGTGCCTGTATAATGTGTCATTATTGAGATTTTGTTTATTTGGTTCGTTTTATGCCGTTACTTTGAACATTCATTTTATCGCTGATAACCAAAGTACATCAACTGCAATCGGGAGTCATGCAAGAAATAACTCTCCAATCCGGTAAATTAAAATTGAATACTGAAGGGAAAAAAACGTTGGAGTATATACAGATACACTCAACAAAGAATACGAGATTTTTTTTTCAACAAATATAAAATGTAGTTAGCACACTAAATAGGGAATTGAAGTGTTCCCCTAATGACATTTGCTAAGTTTTACAAATTTTAACCACAATCCGTGTGTTATTATATTGCAAAATGCGGCGCTAGTTTCTACCTGACGGAATTACACAAAACCAAATGAAATTCACTCTTTGCTCAAGGCATTCAACTTTTTATTTTGGTTTGCCGATAACAACCGATATCTTACATATCTTTCCACGTATCCAACGGGGCTTTTCTGTCGCAGTTCTGTGATAATCGAAGTTTGATGCATTACATTCATATGTGTTTACACATTCTCTCCCGTTTACGATTTCTATTTCCATTCGATGAATTTGGTCGCTTCGATCAGTCCATCTAATTCACCTTTTCGATGATATTATCTGACATCCGACATTCGACAATTGCATTGCCCATAGTAAGCACACGCAAAAGCAATGCATCGAAAGGTCAAACGGGTTAAATTATTTCATACATTAAAGTCGTCACACCGCGATCGTATGCAGCGAGGCATGTTTTGTGCTCTTCAATGAAAATGATGGAGCATATGTCTTGTCATATGAAACATTGTCCCCATACAAACGTATGCCATTTGACTGGCAACGCTTTTGTGTTATTATTTTGATGCCTGTTTGTGTTTATTTCAACGGTATCAGTAACCGTTCGGGCTTATTTCTATTTTGTTTTCAATACGAAAAAAGTCATCTTACAATCAAGTGAGAGAGAGAGAGAGGGAATGTTCACATTTTGATTGGTAGCGCACGTTGTCTTCTGAAATAACATTTTTACCGAATGCATTTCATTCAACAAGAAAATGGTGAATTCTTACGAAGAAAGAAAAAAAAAACAATTCCGTGTTGTTGGCACCACGCAGCATTGCAAAACCGAACAAAGGATCACTAATTGCTGATTCAAAATCATATAAATTGGTTTTCTTGTACAACTCCTAAAATCGATTTATCTTATGACCCTAAAGGTCATTGAGAGCCATTCGTGTTTCTTTGTTTGGAAGAAATCTGGCCACCTGGCATTGTTCATTTAGTGGCAACAATCTGAGTGATATTTGTAAATGTAATAATCAAGTCC